CTTGAGGCCATATCCTGCTGATATCCTAGGAGACTCAATAGCAGGATAAGGCCCTGAGTGCTCAGGGAGGCACACACCAACACTTAACACTCCCCTTTCCTCCCACGCCCTGAGGAATCAAGGGCCAGGTGAGGACATTGCCATTTGTGGACGTAAAAGGAAAGCTCACTACTCTAAGGACTGGCTAGCGGGCAAACACACTCTAGAGGTCTTTAGTGTTCTTTGGACGGGAAGAAAGGAAGGATGGCCAATGGGAATGGTGTTGTTCATCATCATCCTCATCAGTTTTATTATTTAAACAAAATTTATTTTAATTTGCTTGCCAATTTTTTCACTCTAAAAGTAATATCTGCTCATCATGGAAAAGTTTAAAAATATAGTAAAAAATAAGATGGTTGAAATAAGTCCAAATACATCAGTTATCATATGAGTTAAAGCTGATTTTACCAAATAAGAGTAAGAAATTTTCATGTCAGATGACTAACAAAAGCCAGACCTATACTGTTTACAAAGACATAACTAAACCGTAAGGACCCATTAAGTTGAAAGGGAAAAAAACAGGAACATTAATTACATGTCAGGTAATACTAGCTAAAAGAAAGCATAGTCATATCATGCAAAATATATTTTATCCCTAAAATAAGATCTGAATATATTATTCAGATCCGTGAAAATATTATATATCAAATCATGTGGGAAGCAGATAAACTGTACTGATTAGGAGTTATGTGGTGCCTGTATTAGGTATCTGGTTATCTATCTATTTTACAACAAAACAGTTGTTCCAAATTCCTTTGTATTCTTGGCATATGTCCCTCCTCACCCCACCTCACCTATCCCAGACCCCACCAAAGCACACCTTTTTTTTTTATTAAGTCATGATCAGAATATTTTTTTTAAAGATTTCTTTATTTATTTGAGAGAGAGAGAGCACGTGAGCAGAGTGGAGGGTCAGGGGGAGAGGGAGAACCAGGCTCCCCGCTGGGCAGGGAGGGCTGGATCCCAGGACCCCAGATTCTTAACTGACTGAGCCTCCCAGGTGCTCTTAAAATATTTTTTATTTGGATGGTTGCTACAAGATGGTTACAGAAAAGCATGTTCCCAATCCTTTCTAAATTAAAGAGATTGTTCACTTTAGATATTGAGTGCATTAAACACACACACACACACACACACACACACACACACACACACACACCTATTACAGAAAGGTAAGTTTTCCCCATCCCTGCCCCTAGTCACTCTCTCCAGAGGCAGCAACTGTTGGCTACTGAGAAGTCCTTTGTTCGTATGCATGCGTGGGTGATGTATGCTAGTGGTTCTGGTTTTTCACAAATAGCACATGTGGAAATACTATTCTCCCTCTTGCTTTTCTCATTTCATGATGTGTTTTGGACAGCCCTCTATATCAGCACATGGAGATCTACCTCAGTCTTTTTGTTGCCCTGGTATTCCACTGTGTTAACGCCCCATACTAATTTATCCAGTCCTCCCCTGATGAGCACGCCTGTTGTTTTTCAATCTGCGCTATGACAACCAATTTTGTGATAACATCTCTCTTCAGAGATACCGACGCACACATCTTTAGGATGTATTCCTGAAGGACAAAGTTGTGTTGAAACCCATGTCCACTAAAATTCTGATAGATTTTTTTTTCAAAAACTTTCATCAAAAAAACCCAAAAAGGGCAACCCTTTCAGGACCCCTTTCACTCTTGAGAGCTTTCTCTGTATTTTCACTTAATAAACGTCTATCACTTTATTCACAAAAAAACCAAAAAACAAAAACCAAGAAACCAACAACGTTAAAACCCCAAATGAAACAAAATACTTTCCCCAAGATTTGTAAAGGTGCTTATTTCCACACCCTGGTCAATGCTATACATTTTTTTATCTTTTGTACTCTGTGAGGTGAAAAATTATGTCTTATTGTTGCTTTAATTTGCATTTCCCTAATTATGAGCAAAGTTGAGCATCTTTTCTCCAGTTCATAAGCAATTTGCATTTTTCCCCCCGACGAAGGGCTTTCTGGATCTTTTGTTAAATGTTCAATTGGGGGCGCCTGGGTGGCTCAGTTGGTTAAGCGACTGCCTTCGGCTCAGGTCATGATCCCGGAGTCGAGTCCCGCATTGGGCTCCCTGCTCAGCAGGGGGTCTGCTTCTCCCTCTGACCCTCTTCCCTCTCGTGCTCTCTATCTCTCATTCTCTCTCTCTCAAATAAATAAAATCTTAAAAAAAATGTTCAATTGGGTTGCTAGTATTTTACTTCCTGCTTTATACGCTATCATTGTAAATGAAAGGAACAACCCCTTTTATCTGCTGTGTAGAGCCTGCAATTATTTTTTTCCTGGTTTGTCATTTACATTTTGATTTTTATTTATGTGATTTTTGCCCTTGCTGGGCGAAGGGCAGACTGCCTCAAAATGTACCAGTTTGGTATATTGATTATTATTTATGTATTTAAAAGATTTTATTTATTCATTTGAGAGAAAGATAAAGCGAGAGACAGCACAGGGGAGGGGGAGGGGCAGAGGGAGAAGCAGTCTCCCCACTGAGCAGGGAGCCCGATGTGGGGCTCCATCCCAGGACTCTAGGATCATGACCTGACCCAAAGGCAGATGCCTAACCGACTGAGCCATCCAGGCGCCCTTGGATATTGATGATTTTAAATAAAAGTTACTTAAGAGACTGTGCAAGGACATTTAGACCCTCATGGGTCCCCCCCTCTGCCAGAGAGCAGGAAATAAATCTCCCGTGTGAAAGGCACCCTCCCTGTACCAGTAGGTCAAGAGACATCCTTATCAACAGAGATGGGAAATTTAGAGCCGAGAAGACTGTGCAGACAATCCTTATTACTTTTTCCTAATTTACTAACCCAGCAAAATTCTGTTTAGAATTCCTTACTAATTGAAGTTCCCAAAGTTCAGTTTTCTCATCCTGTCAATTTCTCACAGATTTATTGTCTTTCTGTCTAAAACGTACAAAAACTGCCTGCTTTGGTCACTTCTTCATATCTCTGGTTATTGGGCCTCTGTGTCCACATAATAAAACTTTTTTTCTCCTGACAATCTGCCTCATGTACATTTAATTCGTAGTCCAGCTGGAAGACGGTGAGGGTAGAGAAAACTTTCCCCTTCTTTTCACTGTGCAGCAAACTTTTATTACTACTGGATCCATTTTAACAGTCTCGTTCTGGATGGTGGCCGGGTTTATGCCTTTTTACGAAAGTCTTCTCTAAGCCAAGATTATTAGAAAGAAATCACCCATGTTCATTTCTAGGACTTTTATAGATTCATTTTTTAAAAAAGATTTTATTTATTTATTTGAGAGAGAGAATGAGAGAGAGAGAGAGCGCACATGAGAAGGGGGAGGGTCAGAGGGAGAAGCAGATTCCCTGCTGAGCAGGGAGCCCGATGCGGGACTCGATCCCAGGACTCCAGGATCATGACCTGAGCCGAAGGCAGTTGCTTAACCAACTGAGCCACCCAGGTGCCCCTATAGATTCATTTTTAAAATATTTAAATCTTTGATTCATTTATACGTGTTTGGTGTAAATTTGTATCAAATTTGATCTTTCTCAGATTGTTAGCTTGTTACCTCAACACCATTTATTGAAGAATGTATCTTCAAGAGTGCACTCTATTTCATGACTGTTGGCACTGAACTACTTTAATTATCTTAGCGGAGGTTTTTGCCTTTCTTCCCTGAGGTGCCAACCCACTTTTAGTCCCTCTCTGTTTTGTCATATCTTTAAGCACATTTGTTCTTTGAGCCCTTTGAATTTCTTCGCAGAACTTTTCTTTAAGACAGTGTGTGAATCACAGACTTGTGATTTACAAGATTCGTATTTCTCCTGAATTTCCTTCCAGATTACTGACAGGTGCGGTCATTGGTTTCGGATGGAGGCTTGGCCCCAGAGGGCAAGCCTGGCTCCTTAGGTAAATGAATAGGTTCCATTGTTCTGGGAGAAAGACTCTTTTAACTTGAAATGACCTCCTTTGCCCAGAATAATAGTCAGGTAACTGGTGTCTCTGAATTCTATAATTGTATAGTAAATAGCTCCTTCCAGTCCTGTGCGTGATTTATGTAACCTTGATCGCTCAGGTTACAGCCACATAAATTGTTATGTAAGGTGTAGACCCATGTCTCAGGGAATAAAGTTTAACAAGACTTTTTCTCTTTCAAGTGGCTTGAAGCCTCTGCTGTGGAGGAAGGAGGGAGGGTGGAGTCTGGACTGAGGGGCACCAGACTCTAGAACATTACAGACCCAGCCCTTCTGGCCAGTATCAGGTAACATGGTTGGGTTTGTGAGGCAAGGACGGTGATGCTTGTGGCTTTTATGCTGTGCTCTGTGTCCAGGCCTCTTTGGGGGAGGCCAACTTGACGTGGAGGGAAAGTCTTCATTCAAAATCTCTGTACAGTGGCTGCCCCAGCCTTGAATGTAGCCCAGAAGCAGAGGATCAGGCCTCTCTCATTCTCAGGGCAGAACCCGTTTAAGATACTTGGTGACACTGACTCCCTAGAGCCAAAATCTCTGTAATTTTCCACTTTGTAGATGGGCTACCCCAGCACCAACTTCCCCTCAGCAGCCAGAGAACAGCTGGGCCAGCCCAAGCTGGAAGGGAGGGCTGGGCAGAAGTGGGCCCTGTTCCCAGTGACCTCAACTTTTGTTGCTGGATTTTTTTTTCTTTAGTGCCCCAGGTTCTTGGTCACGCCGCTTCGAAGAATGAAGAGGTGCCGACCCGACAGAGGGGTGTGCAGCAATACGAAGTTGATTGAGCGATAGTACAGAGCTCCCGAAGAGGGAGGGGACGGAAGAAGGTGGCCACTGGAGTTTCTAAGTCTAGGAGTTTTTGTGGGCTTGTTGGCAGGAGCTGTTTTAATCTGATTAACACTCCAGGCGCCTGTCATCCAATCAGGTTTTTGTCTATTCAAAGGGGAAAGGGCAGAGGGCTCCTTCCAGGGTGAGTGTAAAATCCTTTTTTTTTTTTTTTTTTTTCGAAAAAATATGGAACGCTTCACGAATTTGCATGTCTTCCTTGCACGGGGGCCCTGCTCATCTTCTCTGTATCAGTCCAATGTTAGTATCTGTGTGGCCAAAGCAAGCTCGTGTAAAATCCTTTAAAGGGTGGTTTCCTCTTAGGGCGGGGGCCCCTTGTCCCTGCCGGCCTCTCTTCTGACTAGCCTCCATTGCCTTGAGCTTTACTGAGGATCCTGGATGCACGAGAGGGAGGGGGCCCGGAGAGGGGAAAGCCTGTATCTGACCCCCTAGAGCACTCTGGGGATGAATAGGGTACATTATACCCCAACTCAGAGAAACACCCCCACTGCTCCATCAGATATTACACATTGAGAACGTGTAAAACAACCTCTGCATTGTGACCTTTTTTTTTTTTAAGATTTTATTTATTTATCTGAGACAGAGCGAAAAAGCTGGAGCGGGGGGGAGGGTCAGAGGGAGAAGCAGACTCCCCGCTGAGCAGGGAGACCGATGAGGGACTCAATCCCAGCACCCTGGGATCATGATCCGAGCTGAAGGCAGTCGTTTAACCAACTGAGCCACCCAGGGGCCCTCCAAATTGTCTTTTAACAAAGTTCTGGTCTTGGGGTGCCTGAGTGGCTCAGTCGGTTAAGTGTCCAACTCTTGATTTGGACTCAGGTCATGATCTCAGGGTGGTGGGATTGAGTCCCGCACCCTCAGAGCAGTCTGTTTGGGATTCTCTCTCCCTCTCCCTCGGCTCCTCCTGCTGCTCGCACACAGTTTAAATAAATAAATAAATAAATAAATAAATAAATAAATAAATAAATAATAGAATCTTAAACCAAAAACCAAAAACCAGAAAGTTCTGTTCTTCCTTTGAGATATTGAACCCACCAGGCAGCACTTAACTCTGTTTATTAATGGGCTAAACCCAGATCCTTCTCTTTTAGTTAAAAGGACCAGGATGGGACTGGGAAACTGTTCAATTCACATTTATTTTTTTTTAAGATTTTATTTATTTATTTGACAGAGAGAGAGAGAGAGAGAGCACAAGTAGGCAGGCAGGCAGGCAGAGGCAGAGGGAGAAGCAGGCTTCCCGCTGAGCAGGGAGCCCAATGTGGGGCTCGATCCCAGGACCCTGGGATCATGACCTGAGCCGAAGGCAGACGCTTAACCGACTGAGCCACCCAGGCGCCCCTGTTCAATTCACATTTAGTTAATTTGGCAAACCAGCTCCCTTGCATCCAAATGAAAGAAACCATCTAGTTTCTATTACTGGAAAGATCCAGGGCATTGGAAAAAAGATTGTTACAAATTTTAGCACCCCGGGCACCTTCTGCTTTCTGCTTCGTCTTTCTAGAGTCTTCCTAATTCCCAGTGTCGGGGTATCTGAGGAGATACAGAGCCTCTTCCCAATCCTCCCAACTGGCCGCAAGAATCTCCTCCAGATTGGGAATGACTCTCAAGCTACGCTCTCAGTAGCCGACCCCACTGATATAGAGCTACCCCCTCTTTCAGTACTAAAACCGCTCACATGGCAGGGGCTCAAACCTCAACAGGTTTCTGTCTGAACCTATTCCCTTTTATGGAGGCTGTTTGAGAGACACACACTCTGCTCCTTAGAGTTCCTCTGCCTCTGTTCATTTATTGGGCCAAGATTTCTTAGAAAAGAATCATGTTGGAATTTTCTTTCTCCCAAAAGGGGGAATAATGCTGAAATTTGACCATAATTATCAAAATAGCCAACTAGGTGTATCAAATGGCCCCTTGACATCTTTTATTTGTTCCATTTGTGATGGTTCTATAGCTGAGCCTGGAGACATGGACTGTTTGTTCCCATGGGATCAGCTGCCATCTTCATTATGGGCAACATCCTCAGCTGATATTGGCAAAATCCCCAGTGCACCTCCCATCTAAATTCAAATAGATCCCTCAAAACCTCCTCCTGTAATTGATCAAAATTATAAATAAGCTTTTCAAGGCCCCAAGCCCATAATAGAAGATTACAAAGCTCAGGGCCTCATTATCCCTACACTAGTCACTGTAATATCCCTGTTTTACCTCTGAGAAAACCCAATGGGTGAGACTGGAGGTTTGTCCACAACCTCTGAGCAATAAATGACATAATTATCCCTCGGTGGTCTGTTGTTTCTAAGCCCCATGTGCTACTGACATCCAATCCCACTGAAAGCAAATTTTTCATGATTTATACAGCGCATTTTTAGTGTTCCCGCTGATAAAGATAGACAATATTTTTGCTTTCCTTTGGGAAGAACAGAAATGCACCTGGGCAGTAATACCCTAGGGTTTCAGAGAGTCCTTCTTTTCATACACCTTAAAAGCTGATTGGGATGATAAAAGGTTTTTGGCAGGATCTCTGTTGTTAAAATACATAGATGATTTGCTTCTCTGCTCCCCTTCTCAAACCTTGTCACCGGAGACAGCATTCACCTGTTAAAACTTTTGGCCTTGGGGTGACTGGGTGGCTCAGTCGGTTAAGCATCTGACTCTGGGTCAGGTCATGATCCCCGGGGTCCTGGGATCCAGCCCCAAGTGGGGCTCCCTGCTCACGGGGGGAGTCTGCTTCTCCCTCTGTCTGCCCCCTGCTCCCGCTTGTTCTCTCTTTCTCTCTCTCAAATAAATAAATAAAATCTTAAAAAAAAAACCAAAACACTTTTGGGCTTAAAGGGACATAATGTTTTCATAAAATTACAGTTTGCTCAAACTCAGGTTCAATACTTAAGGCATCTGATCTCAGAATAAGGACTACATTTGGATCCAAGTGAACCCACTCATGCTAACAGGTTACATTCTGAATCCCCGTGACGGTTTATAGAAAACTCCTCTACTCGATACAGATTTTTCATGGCTTACTGATGGTTCCCATTTAAAGGATGAAAATGGTAGGGGCACCTGGGTGGCTCAGTCAGTTAAGTATCCAACTCTTGATTTTGGCTCACGTCATGATCTCAGGGTCATGAGATCGAGTTCCCTGTCAGGCTCTGCGCCCACTGTGGAGTCTGCTTAAGATCCTCCCTCTCCTTCTGCCCTTCCCCCACCCCAGCTCTCACACTCCCTCTCTCTCAAAAAAGAAAAAAAAAAGGATGAAAATGGTAAATACTGTAATGGCTAAGCTATTGCAACTCCTTTTGAAGGTATTCAAACACCACGTCTCCATTTGGCTACTTCAGCCCAAGAGGTGGAACGATAAGCCCTTACTCAAGTTCGTACCTTAGCTGAGGGTGAAACTGCAGACATTTATACAGATGGTTGATATGCCCTTGAGGTAGCTTATGACTTTGGGATATTATAGAAACAATGAGGTTTTCTTACCTCACAGGGGAAAACATTAAAAATGGTTCCTATGTTCAAAATTTATGTTAGATGCCACACTTTTGCTGGTTGCTCTGGCTGTCCCTGGGCATTCCAGACTCAACGTCCTGGAGGCCAGAGGAAACCATTTCACCGATATTTCTGCCCAAAACTCTGCTCTCAAGGAAATCAATAGCCAGACCTCTGTCATGGTCTGAAGAGATGTTCTCCCAAATGATAGTTTTGGAAAAATTGGTGAGATATCCAACAACTGGCCCCAGAGAGGGAAAAGCAGTATTGGAAGTCTAGCAAATGTTGGCCTGCTAAAAAGAGAACTCTGGTTGGACCAAATAACAATCTGTTCCCACCAGAAATTTCAAAACCACCACTAGTTGCCAATGTACATGCATTAAACTATTGGTCTACTGGCAAAATGACAGCATCCATGAACCAGTGTTGGTGGGGAAATATTAATAAGGTCACAAAAAGTGCCTACCTTGCTGTCCCACCTCACCAAAGTATAATCCAGGGGAAACTGTCCATACAAACTATTTAGATTTCATACAACTTCCCCCTTTCATAGATAAATATGTTTTAGTTCATTGTATATTTTCTCACTCTACCAAAGCTTTCTCTTACAGACAGGTCAATGCTTCTTCTGTTAGAAAAGGTTACCCCTACTTGAAGAACCCCTCTCAAACTTCATGGTAATCAGGGAACCCATTTTATTGGTCACATGTTTCAACAAGTTTGTGCTGTTTGGCTGGTTTTACACCACTTTCATTGTGCATATCATCTTCAATCCTCAGGGTTAGTCAAACACGCTAATGGCCCTATTAAGGCTCAACAGGCAAAGTTTGTAGGCTGCAAAATATGTTGGCCTAAACCATTGCCATTGGTCCTTCTAAATCTCAGAACTACCCCCTTGGGAACTCATAAACTCTCAGACCTACCCCCTAAATCTCAGACCTACCCCTTTGAGAACTCATAAACTCTGAGATAGCCATGGAATGTCCAATATACTTGGCCCCTGCTTCCTTTGACCTAACATTGATAAAGGAGATATATTTCACTAGTGTAAAGGCCTAATTTCTTCTATTAAAAATAGCTGTACTTTGGGAGAGCAATCTTCACAGGGCACTCCTGGGAGACAGATGACCTTAAGCATCATACCTTGCAGCCTGGAGATTTCATCTGTTAGAAGAAATACCTCCAGAGAGACTCTTCAACCTCCCCGGAAGGGCCCTTTTTCAGGAACTGGTAACCAACCCTTGTGTTGCCAAACTCCAGGTTAGAGACTCTTGAATTCACATAATGCATCTAAAGAAAGCACCTAGGGTGCCTGGGTGGCTCAGATGGTTAAGTGTCTGCCTTCAGCTCAGGACATGATCCCAGGGTCCTGGGATTGAGTCCGGCATTGAGCTCTCTGCTCCTTGGGAGCCTGCTTCTCCCTCTGCCTTTCTCTCTCTCTCTCTCTGTCTCTCATGAATAAATAAATAAAATCTTAAAAAAAAAAAAAAGCACCTAATCCCAACTGGATCTGCACGCCTTCTGGTGTCCTGAAAGTAAAGATTTACCAGAATTGAAGCAGATGAAATCTGACAAGACCACTTCCCCAAGATGTTCAGACCAGGACTGTATACTTTTTTCTCACTGTTGTTTCTTTCTCTCTCTCGTGGGAAGACAGTGCCTCTATCTGCATTTCCCAAGTGCTTATGAAAGGGGGAAATCTTTTTTTTTTTTTTAAGATTTTTTATTTATTTGACAGAGAGAGACACAGCGAGAGAGGGAACACAAGCAGGGGGAGTGGGAGA